ACTGGCACCGCCGCCAATTTGAATTTCCCCTAATTTTTAACAGCACACGAAAGGGAGAAACCGGCACTGTTCACGCACACGTTTACCTCAACGGCCTATCTCACGAACGAATTGTGGAAACGCAGGCTTACACGGTGCGTACCATCTTGCACATTCATATGAATGATTTCCCGTCGTAGAAGGGGTTAACATGCATGATGAATAATACTTCGTGAAATTCATCTATGTTGGTTCCCCGCGATCGGTGTAAATTCCTCGACGTAAGTTGAGGAGTCTAGGAGACAATAAAGAAGATTAAACTTGCTAAGATTTTTAACTGCACTCGCTCCTCTCACGTACTGGATTGCTCAACGTGTCACAAGGAGCTGTAACAGCATTTCGCGAAATATACTGTACGGTACAGATATTATAGTAACTCGTCGACGATCGACTGAAAATAAAGGTAGAATATCAGCTGCTGTCGAATAAATGACGACGTATTTCATCTCGATGCGTGGACGTGAAATTCAAACCGGTGAACTTGATGGAAGGTGAATCCCGTTCCTCGGGGAGAACAAGATGGAATCATTTGTGTTTACCGCTTCTCTGATATAATCAATAAATTGCCCACGCTGCTATAACGGTTACTTACCTTATGAGTTCATATACTGCTGGGAACCCCAGTCACAAGATCAACAGCCGACCGGCTCTTGCATTTTCTGAGAGAATAATGGTGATGAGGTCTTGCAAAACGGTTTGTCGCGAGTCCGGGGAGAAGCGCGTGAAGGATTTGTGTATGATCATGGTTGATTGCCTGTGCTGTACCGGTATTATATAACTTAGCTCTGTACCTTGAATGTGAATATTGCGTCCACAGTCTCACATGGAATGGGTTGCTTCTACAGCTGTAAATGATCTGAGCGGCCACTTTCTTCTTTTTTTTTGTCGAAAGTGTAGGAGAATTTTATTTATTTATTTAATAATATCTTAATTTTCCTCGTATAAACCCACGAATGAGAGTAAATCGGTGAACAAAGACACTCGGATTCACTTCATTTTCCCTACCCATAGCTCGATTATCTTGCCGTTTTCAAAACCTATAATTGCATGCTAATCACGTAATCCTTTTTGTTCACAGTTCGAGCGCTTCGTGGCGAATGTGGGCGGAGTGTGGGGATTGTTTGCCGGTGCTTCTTTGATCACTTTCGTGGAAATTTTTGAGTTCTTCTTCGACACGTTCGTGTGGTTATTTGCGTGTCTGTTCATTCGGATTCGAAAGCGGGAATTGAACAAGCGCAGTCGTGATAATGTCGTGTCATCGAATGATAATCAAATGCAAGGCAATGTTAATGCCGCTTTTGATCCGGCGGATGAGAATCGGATGCGCAGGAATAAGTTGGGTGAGCAAATTCTCGAAGTTTGTCATCTTCAGGATTTGAAATGATTTTATTAAAAGCTGCCGATTTTGTCTTCTTTTTTTCGGGAGTATTCTTCAAGGATAAACAATGTCTTCAGTGAAGGAGTATCATATCACGCTGAACAAGAGTGAGAGATCCGTGAAATCTGAGTCAAGGTGCTTTCCTCATACCGAATGCTTCTCTCATCCTGTCACCCGTGCAACAACACTGCACCAATTCGAAGTTCCCGATTTGAATACCTCATTTCTCCTCAAGAAATAACGACCAGCGTAGATTGAGAGGCAGCGTAATATAAAACCGAATGCTTCTCTCATCCTGTCACCCGTGCAACAACACTGCACCAATTCGAAGTTCCCGATTTGAATACCTCATTTCTCCTCAAGAAATAACGACCAGCGTAGCTTGAGAGGCAGCGTAATATAATTATTTTGCACACTCCGTTGGACAACGAGGCTGGCTCTCGGACCAGCGGCCAACCACGACAATAAATTAGGTTCACTGATTTTTTCTCGTTACTAGATATTCTCTAGAACGAAAACTTGTTTCGCGTCCGGAAGTCGAGTGTTCTCCCGATGTGTGCTTATAATTATAGCTTCATGGGAACAAGTTGGTCAGGGACACCGGACACGTCGGGTATGCCAAGTGGCACTTTCCTCCAGTTTCCCTGCCAAACTTTTCAGCGTCGAGGAATTGCTTGTAGCGCAGTTTCTTGATGGTGTGGGTGTCACTTGTGTCCATGTTGTAAGATGCTCTGTGATCGTTCACATGAATATAGGCAAAAAATTCTGTTCTGGTCTGAAACCGCAAAATTATGAGAGCAACAAGTCTTCGGAAAATTTTACGCATGTTTGAAGCGGGTAAACGTTACAGCTTTCACATGCCATGTGAAGTACTGTAGTAAAATCGATGCTTTTTAAACATTTATTTTCAAAGCAGCATTTTGAGGAATGCTGAAAAGACGAAACAGCTCGCGTGACGTTAAAAGATAATTTTGTACAGTATCTGGTAAATTCTTGAGCCCTGGTTGAAGATTTTCAGCGCAAAACAATTCGTGGGGTTCCTTATATAATCGATCTTAAATTAAAATAACCAATTAGTTTAATAATCGATTTTTTCTCGAAACAACTATTGAATTTGACGTGAGAAATTTGGAAATGGATGGATATACTCACCTTAAAACCATGGACAAGACCTCTCCCAGTAATCCGTCGTGGAGCAAAGGCGCATCGCCAATTTCGCAAATTGCTCTCAATATGCACGCTTTCCCATCCAACCCGAATCTTTTGGCAGTGGTCGAAGAGAAATTGCAAAACATTCTGACATTAATATCTCGAATGTAAAAACTTCTCAAATTGTATTACCGCACAATGTTTTATGACTCCGGAATTCTAAAAATTCTGTTGATTCTTTTCCTGAAATACTTCCAATCGAATTCGAGATTCTAAATTTTGTGCACTTGAGTTGAAAATGATATAGCGTATAGTAATTTTTTGCATTGCATTCTTGAATTTTTTTTTCGAAAAAATTTTGCTGGTCAGAAGGAATAATCGACTCGCAAATATTTGACACCATCGAGTATGCGTTTTTCCGCTCTTTTTTTTTGCAGTATATTTTCGCGAAGATATCATGTTTCACATTCTTTTAAATTCTGTCACACTTATTATTATTTTCATTACCTCTGTAGCATTTTTTCCATAATGTCGTAGAATTCCCGTCGCGTCGAGGCACCAGTGAATGACCTGCCATTGATGCTATTTATCCCAAGTGTCGTCGATGTCGGCAAGTCGAGCACAAATGGGATTGAGATGGTCATTGACGACGCAACTGTCGTGTATGTCGGTATTGGCAACAGCAACGCAAAAGTAATCTTGAAAAATAAATGGTACCAACCGTCAAAATTAAATGTCGAACAAAACGTTTTCGTCAAAGAATGAAGTCGATTTCCAGAATTAACACCATATACTGACCATTCTTTTGATCACTGGAAAAGGATTACATTCAATGCATGTAAAAAATGAACGGAGCTCATCACGTTTATTTCTTCAGCTTATACAGATGTCGCCTCAATGTCGAACTAGAAAAACTTCGTAAATTGACTCGACAAATCTGAAAGCGACACCTATTTATTGCGAATTAACATGTGTCAATCTCGAGACATTTGGAAATTAGCAAAATACATCACTGTCCTACATTTATCAAAATAATAGTGTATGTAGGGTGAAAATTTGTTTTCCTTTAAAATAATTAGAAAAAAATTAAAATCTCGCACGTTCTTCGAGATTCTTGTAATTTTTGAGGACAACGAATGTCAGCCTCGTTGCAGTTTTGAAACTTTTCGAATAATGTTAAAGCCTGATATTACTTAAAAGCTTCGTTTGAAAATGCTTTTAAAATGGCTGAGTTGTTTTCTCCTTTTCAATACCGTTAAAGTGCTGCTCCCAGGAAATGGAATTAATCTCCGGTGTCTGGTTCTGGGTGCATAAACGTCGCTGTCGTTCCTGTCGCCAGATGTTTTCACTAGGTTCAAATATGTTTCGAAAACATCGTCACTGACGTCTCTTAATCCTGTCGAATTCTGTCGAAAAAATAATAATGTACTCGCTTGTTGGTTTAAAAAAACATTTTTGAATGTAGATGAACTTACTGCGAATAATGCTGACTGTTGATGATTATGATGACGATCTTGAGAAAGATTTGATTGTGAATTGATGATTTCTGAACTACGCTGAAAACTCATGCTTTGTTTAGCGAGGAATGAAATAATGGGCAACAAGAAACATGTCAGATGTGTCGCCAAGTTGTTGAGCATGTTCGGCATAAACATTGCTAGTAAATGGGGTTTTCTGTGGAAAATGTAGTAAAATTATGCTTGGAATGCCAGAAAACATTCAGGTATACTGTATGCCACTGAAGAAAAAATCACGAATTCAACGCACGTCAATTTATCGTAGTGTTCGTTTGCGTTTTCTGAACTGTTTATTTTTATTTTTTTTCTTGACGTTTTTGAGGTCTTATTCTTTGAAATCTTTTAATGATCCACTGTTTTGAAATATTGATAAACAAACATTTTTGAGCTTCAACAAAAGCCAAGCAAAAATATGAGAGATTTCAGAGATTTACACAGAAAATGTAAGAATTCACACTTACATTTTCAGGAATATGAAATCACTAAATTCACCAAAACACTGAACAAGGAACAAATCTCTGAGAAAAACTTTTGAAAACGCGTTTTGCCTTTTATTTTTATTTCCTGAATATATATATTTTTTTTTGTTCATTGCTGATGAGCAAAAAATAATTTTGTTTCGCTGGTTTAAAAAAAAACTTTTCAAGAAAGAACCATCACAACACTACTATTGCGACCCTGGCCGGAAGGAAATGTAGACTGAAATGAATTTGCAGACGAGCTGGCAGAAATGTTGAAGCAAGGTAATATGAGGATATATTTCTGGTTCACTTACTGCCAATTTCCTCGGCCAGGAATCCGTGGAAACCGGGGCAACCCGTGTCTTATTTGCCTAATTTCCGCATTTCCGCCTTGCCGTTCATCAAGGTTAATCCCGCTCGATCGCGTTTGAATGAACGGACACGAACCGGGTTCCAACTTTTTTGAATCAATTCAGTTTTTAATTGACAACCAGGATTCCGTTACGTTTTTTCGGTCTCAATAATGAGCACAAGAGAGGGAATAATATGCGAAGTGCTGGGGAGCAAATTAAAATGGAAGGATAAGAGAGAATAATAATAAGAGATCGAGGTTTTCGGAAATTAAAGGAATTTTTTTATATATTTTCTGCATTATTCCGCGGATGAGCGTATAAATTAATTTGGTTGTTCTTGAGAATTTCCCAGGAGTCGATGAAGAAGTTTTTTGAAACTCAAGGGACACTGGTCGAATATTTCCTTGCAGCTGAGGTTTTCGTTGTGTTTCTCTCCGGGCTTCAAGTATTTTGAAAGATTTCTGTAAAAAAAAGGACGGCAATTATTCAAAGAGCAATTACTAGCGAGGGAAAATATTTTAAAACTCACATTTTTCTTGCAGTGCTTCCCAAAGACATTTCGTCATATTCACAGACTGCTTCTTCGAAACAGGACTTGTAATCAGTTTTCAGCATCATCTGTTTGAAATGGAAATTTATTTAAGTTACAGAAAATTTCTCAGTACAACATATTTTTTCAGTGTAGCAATTTTTTTTCAAGTCACTACAGAAAATCCAAGGGTTAAATGTTGAATGAATTGCAATATTACAAAATTTCTACTGCTGGTATAATTTTGAAAAAGTTTTTATCATTGTTTCAGAGTTTTTCCCTGGAAAAAGTATCACAACTTATTTTTTTGAAGTTGATCAGAGAGTTATGAAATTTAGAAAAAAAAACACTTTTTTTGAGTCACAGTAGAAAGCCTATGGGTTACATGTTGAACCAATTCCCATATTTACAAAATTCCCACTGTCAGCATAATTTTGCAAATGCAAAATTCATTGTTTCAAAAATTTCCCTCAAAAATTTTGCAAAATGTATCCTCAAAAAACGAGTAGAGTTTTTTTTTTAATTTTACAGTATCAAGTCACAGCAGGAAGCTTATGTGGTAAATGTTAAACCCATCATGACAAAAGTTTCTCATTTTCAAAAAAAAAAATTAAATGTTTTTTTGTTTCAAAAATTTCCCTGGAAAATTTAGTAAAATTTACTCAAGTAGTGAGCGCAGATTTTCTGCATTTTAGAACCAAAAATAAGTGAGTTTCATACCTTGCCAAAATTCCAAGTGTTCCTGATGAACTGGACATCGGGCAGTTTTCCTCCAGTGCCGTGAAAAAATCCAGATGTCACTCCATCGAAGTTCCGTCCTCCATTCAACACTGGTGTGATTTCCAAAGGTAGATAGTTGTGATATGCCAAAATGATCATGTAAAATGTGAAGAGGGCAAGGAACATGATTTGCACTGGTGTCGCTTCCACAGTCTCATTCATGGCGTCCATTTCAATGTATTCGAACCAGCGCCAGGAAGCGACATCTGGACAACCGCCGAGAAGTAGGACTGCTGCTAAAATCGCTGCGGGTTGTTTGAATCTCATCACTGAATTCCACTGTTTGAATCTGGAAATAGGTCGAGAATTTGAACTTTAATGAAATTTTCAGTAAATGGAAAATTGAATTTTTTTTTTGAGAAAAAAATTATTGAGCAGAAGCGCGATTCATGAAACTTTGCATCAACTTGTGGAATTTGAAAGGACACTGATGATATTTCGTCCAGCAATGGTCGCTGAAATCTTCCTCAGGGTTTCTTCTGAAAACAACAAGAATAACTTGAATACAATTTCAATCAATCTGAGACGATTGTTTTTCCCGAGCCTACCGTGTAGAATTCTTGGCAAAATTCGCGTCGGACCAGACTCTGGATTTTGAAAACGCAGCTTCGTCATATTCGCAGAGAACTTCTCCGATGCAAGACTGGTAATCAGCTGTCACAAAAACCTGCAATTACGAGGAATATTATTTTTAAAATGAATAATAATAAAAACACATAATTTTGCGGATTCGTACCTTGCCGACGTTCCAGAAAAATTTGAGCTGATCCCAATTGGGTAATTTCCCTGGCTCAGATTTCAAGTGTCTTCCTGCCAAAACCGGTGTGATGTCCATCGGCAAATATCCGTGAAGTGTTAAAATGGCCATTGACATGACGAAAATGCTTACGAACATCAGTTGGACAGGCGATATAAAAACGGTTTCATTCAAAGCGTTCATTTCAATTTGGTATAAAAATCCCCACGAGTCACTAGTTGGCAGTAATGCGCAAAAAACTGCCAATATCGCCAAGGGCTTTCGAAACTTCATAATTCACTGTTTATCTGTGGAAAACGAAAAAAAAAATCCTTGCCAATAAAGTTGGGAAATATATAAAGCTTTCGTTTCGTCAGCGTTACTCAGAACTTTTCCGCTGATTGGACACATTTACTTTTTTTTTTTTTTTTTGTGTGCAAAAATTTATTCTGTGCAGGCAAACAGCAAAAACCTGGAATTTCGAAAAACTTGAAAATGAAATCTTCGTTTTTGTTCACGTCGGGATGAGATTAACTGAGGGATTAATTTTTTTCATTCTTTAGGTTAAAAACACTTTTCTTTCAAATAACAGCTTCAGTAAAGAAAAACGTATGCGAATTTCCACAGTTACACTATTTGGATATACAATATGAAGCGCAAGTAATAGGCAAAAATATTTTTAGTTTATTCTTAATAAATTCGAACTTCATGTAGTGAAATTTATTTAATTTTAAAATATACTCCGCGGTTATTAATTTATTTTTTGAACAGGGGAATAAGGCAACTGTTTTCCGCATGAAAAAATCAATTTTTGCAAATTTCAAGGAATGTTGGAAGCTTTCGTTTCAGCAGAGTCAATCCAAAATTTTCTTGCGAAAATTGCACGCCATTTTTAATGGAACGAATAATATTAATATTCTTTGTGGAAGAATTGTGTTTTATAAAAAAAAGTTAATGCTCAGCAGGGAAGCATTGATAAATTGTGAAGAACATCTTTTTAATTTGCCCTTGTTGACATGGGATGAAATTAAATTCAGGTTTGAACTCCGGACACAAGAAACGATTTTTTTTTCGTCAGCCTTTTTGTAAAAAAAAACCCAATAAATGTAAATGTTAAACGCGAAAGATTTTATTGAATAAACTCAGTGAAGCCCTGGATGACGAAAATATTTGAAATTGTTTCGCTCACTCTTCATTGAAAATATTCCCCTTTTTAGTGAAATAGTTTTGAGAACTAGAGCTCAGGAAAATTTCTTCTTACAAACAGCCATCAGCAAGTAAGTCACCATGAGAACTAACCAACACCATGAAGGTATCTTCAGTGGAGGAGTGTCTTTTTGAGGGTCACCGAACTAAAGGGAATGTTGTTGGCTTCTCCATAAACTCAGAAAGGAATATCAAAACAAAAAAAAGAAAATTAACTAAATATTCAAAACATAACCTTCTTCCTCTTCTTCTTCTTTGCCCGAGGGGTTTTTTCTTGCTTGCTTTTGCCTGGTCACGTACGTACCTCGAACGAATGTACGTGAGAGAAAAATGTCGCCGGGTTTCAAAATTATATATACGAGCTCCATTCCACTCTTCTCCGAGGTCTTTGACTTTGGTCAAAATACTAAAAATTAATCTCAAATAATTTTTTTTTTGCATTTCGTGCGTAAAACGAACAAAATTTTGGTAAACGCACTTTTTTTTCCAGCTTATACGTGTCCTGCTGTCTTTGCACAATAAAAACAGGGATTTTAATTTCTATACAACTTTTCTCTGTAAAAAGAAAAAGGTGTCCATTAGGTGAGATAAATAGCCGAATTTTTCAGCTGAAAAGCGGTTTATAAAATTTTTTTTGTATGCTCTAGGTTTATTGGGTTTTTTATTTTACATCTGCTGAGGGTTTCTCAAAAAATTGCGGGTTGAAGGAACACAATTTGTGATGGTTGGAGACATTTTTAATGAAGCATTGGTTCCATCAGAGTCAAAAATTTAGTAGATTAAAAAATTAATCTAAAAAACCATGTTTTCAAAAAGCAAAAATTTGATCCGGACAAACAAACAGACAAGAAAGCGAGTTAATAAAAACGTGCTAAAATAAATTTTCTCGCGCTAATATTAAGCGGATTTTGTGTTGAAATTAATTCAATCCGTATTTTTCTGCTGGAAAGTTTGTCAAAATAAATAGTTTTGCTTAGATGAAACGTGAAAACGTGGAATCCAGTGTATTTTCTCAATAACAACAAGTATTAGATTTTTTGGTCTGTTTCGTAATAAGAACAAATGTTTTACTTTCCCTTTCATCTGCGTAAAAATGTACCGATAAACGTTAGATGAGTGTCTTGAACTTTAAAAAAAATTGTTTTCAATTTTTCGTGTTGGAGGAATAATTTTCTATTCAATGAAAGTTTCTCGAAATATTCCTCGGAAGATATTTTGTGAGCTAAAGAATTTCTCAGAAGTATTTCTCGAAATTTCCGGAAGGAAAAGAGAAATTGTTGCCTTTTTGAGCAATATTTCAGCATTCAATCTGAAGAATTTTTTCACTAAGATCGTATGAATTCTTTGATGAAACCGTTTTTCATAGAAAAAATAGTGGATATATGGACCAAATGCGTGAAATTTTGGAAAATTAGTGAGGGAAGTTTTTATTTCTGCCCTTGTTGACACGGCATAAAATTCAAGCTTCATTTTTTTTCATGGCTTCTATAGACGAGGCGAAACAAATTTCTACACGGAATCTTCAGTGATGCAAAATATTTTGCAAATTCGCGACGTAAAAATTGCATAATTTTTTCGATAAAATAAAACGCTAGCGTGGAAGCACTCGGCAAAAAATACTTTCCTTTGTTTTCCTCATCATATTCCAAACACTCTGAAAGCATACAATTTCTCAATTTTTTTTTCCTCCGCAGTTTTTCAATGTCCCGGAAGCAAAAAAAAAATTAGTACAATGGCGATTGAATCAGTGTTTGGTTCGTAATACCGCACAGTGGACTGACGGCACCCATGGTGTCGTGGAAATTGGCAAAAATGGCATTGGCAAATTTTCTTGCTGTCCTGTCGACTGTCGATGGACACTTGGTGCAACCAGCTTCATGTTCGCATTGTCGATAATGATGCACCATGGCAATTTCTGGCGACACTGTCAGTGCCCCGTATCCTCTCATGTGTTCCCACACGAAGTGATTGCCAACTTCTATGACGTATCTGCAAAAATCAATGACGACAAATTGATCACTGTCGATCTTAGGCATGCCTCACATTTTCACCAAAATAATTGTGTGCATGCGCAATATATTTTTGCGAATCGGCGATTAAGCTACAAAATTCTGTGAAAAACGTAATTTGACACACAAAAAAAGAGATCATTTGGATTAAATTAATTGCGTCGAAAATTCAGTCCATTTATCAAAATTATTGTAAAATTATTTTTACAATAACAAATTTTTTGAGGTCCCTATACTGAGAGTTTGTTGTATTTTTCATTTGATGCAATCCTTCTGAAGCAGTTTTCTGAGATTTCTAAAAATGATTGTCACTTGTTTAAACCATTTTAATTTGTTTAAAACTGTTCTGCTTATTGCAAAATGGACACTTTGAAGTCACTGAGCCTTAAAAATGAGAGGAAATACTTTTTTATTACCTGGCTACCACAATATATTTAGATCTGTCCCTGTGAGGATGCAAAGTGGCCCTTCTTCTGGTCTTTCTCAAAGCAACCAGGGGCCAGGTATGAGGGAACTGTGGGACATCATCTGGCCACTCCAGGTAGAAGAAGGCATTTTGGAAAATGAAACTGCCCTTCCTGAGTGTTATGTGTCCAGGGCCAGCTGAAGCCTTGGTCTCCAGCAGTTTGAGTGTGCTGATCAAGTCCTGAGTTTGGTGTGGCACTATGACCTCATCCAAGTCAATCATGACTATGTACTTATACTTGGCCATATTTCTGTATAAGCAGTCATTGAGAGCTGCAAAAATCCCTTCTGTTCTGATCTCAGTTTTTGAGATGAAGGGTAAACTCCATGGCAGCACTTCTACCAGACCCTACAAACAAAATGAAGAATTACTCATATTCCAATGGAATTTGATTGCTGTTTATCTATTTGCTCTAGAAAGTGTTCCCCAACTTTTTTGCTGGGCCTGTGGACCGGCAAATTCTCAAAATATTTTCTGTTGATGGGCAAAGTTTCATACATTTTTTTCAGACTCTCCAAAGTTTTTCTTGAATGTTATTAGGCAGGTAAATACATGAAAAATCTAGTTAAGACTGTCATTAAACAATTAGAATGGTGGGCTTTGAGAAAAGTATCTCAGAATGAAGAATTCTAAATAATGGATTTTAGCAGGTGAAAATTTGTCTGAAGTATCATTAGGAGAAAAGCCAACTTTTATTTTCATGAGATAATTTAACTGCCGTTGTCCTTCTGACATTTTAGGTAGAAAGAACAGACTTCATCCTATGTTTTGATGAATTTATTATGCTGCAATTTTGGAAAAACAATGGGTGTTGAAATTATCTGATGAAATAAAAAATGAAGTTGGCTTTTCTCCTAAAACACTTCAGAAAAATTGTAACCTGCTGGTATAAACTAATTTAATTCTTTTCATTCTGAGAAATCTTTCTTTAAGCCCATGTTTCCATAGCTTTATGAAGACATTCCGGTACTTTCCTGTTATCTCAGTACCCATTTTTCTTTGTCTCGTGAATTCAGTATTTGTTAGGTTAGGTTAGTTCAGGTTATGTTAATTGAGAGATATTTGTAACTAACATAACCTGACTTAACCTAACTTTACCTAACCGCCTCCCAAAATCAGTTTCAGCAGAATGCAGAAAAATTAAATTCACAGTTTCTGGTAGGTGCACGGAAAGTAGGTACTGAGATAACAGGAAAGTACCAACTTTCCACTGTAGCTGCTTCATTGGTACTTAATTTTAAAAAAATCAGCACTGTTTTATTACCTGCCATGAAGTCTTTCAAGCAATACTTTTAAAAATTGCAAATATTTTATACAAATTTTCCAGTTTTCAGAAAATGTTTGGGAAATTTGCTAGTCAAATTGAAGACTGTCACGTTTTACAGAAATTTGCCAGTCCATGGGCCCACAAAGTTTGAAGAATACTGCTCTATAGCATATTTCTTCTATTTTTGGAGGCCTGTATATACTGGCTAGAT